GTTTTAAATTTTATAGAAAATTGTATTTTTTAATTTTTGACTAAAACGCTGCACACCAACATAGCTTTACTCAGTTACTCATTCACAAACATACGCATTGTATTTATGATACAAATTCAAATTTAGATAAAATAATTCAAATTGTACACGAGTTTCTCTGTGCGCATAAACTTCATAAAAATTTTTAGGTTACTTAACTACAAATATAAATAGCTAGACAACAATAGCTACCGAGAATGTTATGTTAAGGTGTCATCAGAAGTTGATGTTATAATTTTTTAATTGAAGTTATAAGATATTATTAATCGCAAATAGATAATTTTTTTTTCAAGAAAATGGTCTTTTGTTCCTTTTAAATTGAATTATTCACATTATTGTAATAGAATTATGTTTATATATTTATAATATACGTACTATGCATTTAGTATATACATATATACATATACATAGGTACGCATAATATCTTTAACAGTAAATTTTAACTACAATCAATAATCTTTACGAGTGTGTATCTATAATATATATAAGTATAAAGTATATATTTAAATGCACTTGTATGGTGGTACACTGGTACCGTTTACCGTAATAAGAAGATGGCGATAGTACGATGCCAGTGGGTGCTAGTGTAAGTGTATATAATGGCAGCTTCAAAGGTAACACATTTTTTAATTCAAATTTTTACCTAAGTCTTTTGTACCGATTGCGTACTTATAACAAATGTTTATTAATTAAATATACCATTAACTATAGACAATTGATAATTTTAATTATGAGCGAGACCTTTTCTGCATGGATTAACGTGAATAATTATTTATATCGGTAAGTATTAAGTTTATTAGAATTTATGATTACCATTGTATTTGCATATTTTCGGGTAAAAACATATTTCACTCGGAAAAATGCCGAAATAAAACATAAATCCGAATATTATTTGGGGTACCTAAAGTAATATTATACCTGACCATGCTTTATATATGTAGTTTATAATGTTTCGAAATAGAAACTTGTTATTTAAATAGGAAGTTATCTAAAATTAATTATAGTAGGTATACGATAGAAAATCTCTATTTCCAAGTTATATACCTTTGGCGATATATATTTTGTTTAAGAATATTTAAGAATTTTGAAAGGAATATAGTTATTCGTTTTATAATTAAAAGCTTCGCTAAATCTATATCGTTGATATAACAATTATTCTAGCTGCCGTTACTATTGCTGCTGTGGTAGTCGGAATCAATTTCTTTGAATATTTTATAAAAGCACCATCATTCTCCTAAAATCTATACTCCCATTCGCGTCTATATTTGTAATGTTGCGAGGTAGTATCTGGTCTTTTAAGTTAACCATTGAAATACGTCCACATCATCTTTCATGTGGTGACCTATAAACATTTCCTAAGGGGATATGTTACAATCTATCGATCTCTAGTCGATCAACGTTTTCAAGGAAATACTCCTTTCTAACTAAGAAATAAGTTGTTTATAATATAGGTTCTCGATATTAGTACTTACATATGCACCCTCTTGAAATTTTTAATATTGTTCTACTTCATTTAATTTATTTTAATACAGGTATGTAAGTAGCTACGTAGAAAAGAAAAGATTTTAACATTTCTCTGAGAAAATATTTCCGATAACAGCATTGTACTAATCGCAGCAATAATTTTTTTAAAAAGTTTCGTTATCATAAATTTCATATTCTATATTCTTGCAATTAAACGCCTAATTAGGTGCGTATTTATAATCTAAAGAAATTTATTAAAACGAGAGTTAGAAATTCTTGAAGTTTTGATAGAAAACTGAAAACGAAATTTAGCTTTATAACATATTATGTAATAAGTAATATTTAACTGAGAATTATTGAAAGAAGGGAGGAGGAAGGTGTAAACGATTGTACACGATGAGGATAGAATAAAAAAGGAAGTAAAATAATAATGAAAAATTTGTAATCACGCGATTGTTTGTAAGCAGTGGAATAAAATTACAAGAGGAAGGAATTATGAAAGTATTTTAGCAACAATTGGTAATGATAGATGGTGGTAAAACGTAAAGTGGTCATGAGTCACAACCTGACGCGGTACGGGGAGGATAGCAGGTGCTACTACTGTTGGTGCTGGTACTGTTGGTGCTGCTGGTGCTACCATTATTGCAGGGGTGGCCAGCTGGATAGGCCAGCAAGGGAACGGATGTTCCCAGGAGATTATTGATCGTGTATGTAGATACTTCCATTTGGACTGCGTAGACAGCATGGAATTTTGCTGAAACGTATCGAATCTATCTTTTTCTAATTTTTTTAATTGGAAATACAAAATTGGATTTATATATACCTACCAGAGGTACACGATCATATTTTCTATATTAGAGTAGATTATAATGGTTATCTATTCAATGTAATAGATATGTAGAATATTTTTTCACAAGGAAGTTTATCAATTCCATTAGACATGTATTGGCTACAAAACTGCATATCTTTGCTACAGAACAATTTTTTGCCGATATTTCTGTGCAATTTATGATATAATAATAGAAGTAGATTCTCTAGATCCAAATTTGCTTAGAATGAAATCGTGTTATGAAATATTTTAGTTATACAGAGTGAGCAACGTAACTGAAACTATATATAATGTAGGTACAATTTGGTAGATCACTACGTAAGTGACAATAATAATAACCTTAAGCAAAATTGATTCGGATGAATGTTTGACTCAAAGACGATGCATGATTTCACTTTTTCTTATCGTTCGTATTTTTCGAAATCTCAGGGTTACTTTCAATTCTCTTAAGTGAAAATCAAGTTTCCTCTTATTGCGAAAATTGTGGATAGTTAAAATTGTTTGGGAAACTCATAGAATAACAGCAGACACAAATAAAATATTTATCGTTCTGTCAATATCTTTTATTTTTTATTACATTTATGATTTTTATAGACTTACGTATGGATATCATTAAAATCTTAAAAGTTCAAAAATTGAAAAGCTTTGAACGACGGTATATCTTTTAATCGAATATTTAATGTCAAATATTGTTAAAAATACACGGCTGTATTGTTTTATGAACGTTGATCATTAGATTTATCGATGCACATCCTTAGAAGTAGTAGATTAAATTTCGTAAAAATCATGGAACCGTAAGGAGAAATGTAAAAGAGTTAAATTTAGAGATGTAAGGTGGGCGATCGCTTGATAGGATCTTGACAAGCAACCCCAATTCAGGAAAGAAACAGTTTGATACGTGCTCGTTGTGAATTAATTTTGATAAGTCAGGTGATAGAATCTTTCCAAAAGTCGTTTAATACCACTTCATCGTACAAACATTTCGAAAAACACAAGTGATAGAAGAAGAAACAAAAAGTACGCTGACAAATAGCGTAGCACATGGCCTTCTTTAAATGCATTCATTTATTAGAAAGTTATCGAAATAATTCAAATTATGTGCCTTTGTTATTAATATACATGTATCGGCGAAAATTACAACTTTAGTTAGAAATTACAATAGATAAAAATGTGTGATGTGCTTAAATATGAAGTAATATCTGAACCAGAATCGAACGAATATACATATAATTTATTTGACAATATTTAAGACTATTTCGTGATTCCACGAATAGAGAGGGTTGGTCAACCATTGGATAACGCCCACACCATGAACCTGCGTGTAGGGTAAAATTGAGTTCGAATCTCGTGTAAATTTGTCAGGAAAATTTTGTCCTAACGATCCTAACGGACATCAACCAATAATAAGCAGGCTTCTGAAATTTAACACGCCATTCTTAACGTCGTCGAATAGCTACGGTTCTCTCCCCTCTCTTTCACGTTGGGATATCGCAAGTGACGGTCACTGCCTTCCTGATTCGATCAATGAAAGTACCTGTACCAGAACGTTCAAGCTATGCGACCACCCCTACTGACAATGAAGCATATGACCATCTGATTTTCATTTACATACTTTCTGGACATTACTACCCATATATGTACACTTCGATCATCATTATTTCTAGTACAGACTGTAACCTTCAAATCAATCTATTTTTTTCTCTTAACATAAATAGTACATACATACCTATTTACATTGTTTTATATCTGCCAGAATACATCATCTACATAAGGAATTGTAGTGTATTTCCAATTAATATTTCTTTTAAGGATATTACAAACAAGCTTTGCGTCATTCATTTGTATTTTACATTTATCTAACCCCACTAAAACAATTTTTTTTTATACAAAAATTACACCTAGGTATACCTATTTGATTGATGCATTCGAATATGTATTCAACTTTTTGGAATAGAATGACAGATATGAAGCTACGTAAATTATAAGTTCTACTTGCGATGACGATTCGTGTTAGAGGTATTTGCAATACAATCGTGATAACTATATGGAGTACGACCGAATAACATTTAGAAGCAGGCATGAAATAATTTCTTATGAAAAGGTAAGAAGAAGCAAGAATCAAATTTTTTCATACGACGCTTCGTTTTCAAGAAAATCGATTTTGAAAATTTATAATTTAAAATATACTTGAACATGGTTAATTCCGGACTGGGCAGGAATAAATAATCGACAGGACATTATTCTACGTGTAAAAACAAATTGAAAATGCGGAACGAAATTGGTCTACAAGACGCTTTGTTTCCGAGAAAAATGAATTTGAATATTTATCATACGTGAATTCTTAGTTAAATACGTTCAGACTTTATTTTCTTGCAAATGAAGCCTCGAACGGACATTTTTTACTTATTTTTGTATGTAGAATAATTCCCTGCTTATTGTTTACTCGTACCTATTTCGGTAATTAGTCATGTTCAGGCATACTTGATAAATTTTCAAACACAATTTTCTCGAAAACGAAACGTCGTGTGAAAAAATTTGATTCTTTTTTCTTCTTACTTTTTCATAAGGAGTCGCCTCATATAATAATAAGCCTGTATAATAATTTTTCAAATAAAATATCACATAAATACGTTTATTTATGTTGAGTTTTCCTCGTATGATATCGTTACATATATTTTTTAAATCAATATTTGTAATAGCGATCGTATAGTTGAAGATTTTGGTATCTGTTGTAATAAACTTCAAAGCTCTAACACTTTGCATCAAATTAGGATTGCGGATTACGGTTATAAAGTCTTTAAAAATGTAAACAACTTTAAGAAAGATAATGTAGTAACGTAAATAAGGAATAGGTACCTATGTATGTAGTTACAATTACATACTTACATAGCGTGTGAAATATTGTATACATATTTACTATTTAACGATCTGATATAAAGTATCCTCTATTACTCACCGCTATCGACGTTATAAAACGTATTCCAAAAAAGTTCTGCTGAAGAAATTACAATAAAAATCAATCTCTTCTCTAAGATATGTAAGTACATAACTTTTTCAAATAGTATTTCCAGCTTTTTAACATAAGCGGAAAATTATAATCAGACTTTATTAAAAAGATAAAGCTACTAAACTATATCTGCATAAAAAATTATACGTACCTACATGTATTTAATCACATGTAAGTATAAGTATCCGCTTAAAAATTCCAAATACAAGTGTTATATAAAACAGTAAATTGTTTATACGTTGTAACATGAGAAGTTTCTAAAGTTAATAAGTTTCCTTTTTTTCTGAAATGATTTTCTTAAAATCAATTAAGGTATATGACTACGTAGAGATGAGATATTATTTAAAAAAACAATATCACTGCGATGAATTACAATCTCCATGATAATCCTGAACCTTTTTACGTTTTGATTTTATTGCTATATAGGTAGTACTTAACTATCAACTATTTTCCCTATTAGGTTGGTTATTAGTTGGTTGGTTCAACTTTGCAGAAGAACGTATACATGATGTAACGAATTATAAACAAATTCCTATTTAAGACATATACATATGCCTTATTTAGTTTAGTATTTAGGAACTGTTGTAGACCGAAAGAACCCTTTCTTCTAAGAAAATTACTTTCACCTTTTATTTCGTTGGCAAAGTTTGTATAAAATAAAGCGGAAAGGATAGAAGCAAAAATGCGAGGTCGAGTTCCCCCGTTTACTGTCCAAGAAATTAAAAGAAGGGAAAGGTTTGCGTTTGCACGCAGGTTTGAACAGCGTGTAAGTACATATGGTCCACCTGCAAAAGGGAGCCAACACCTGTCACGCACACCAACCACGGCCAATGGTTTACAGCACGGCAAGCAAGTAGATTCAAAGTGGGGGATTATCAGGGCTTTCGTTACCCCTTGGTACTAGTTTCATTCGAACGATCATGCGGTTTACATGTTTTGTTCTATACATTGGTGAGAATGTACGTATATAATGTAATAAATCGTAATCGGATTCATGTTCTCAAGTTTTTTTGTAAATTCGCATAAATGTTTGTTTTACTGTGAAGGATCTTAATTTGCGTTCGATGTATTACCTTGGGGAACGTTTAGAGGTGTGTTGTAATTTTTAAATAAGAATTTTGCTTGAACACCGCACTTCGTGAAACTCTCGTATTGATTTACCGTCTAATTGTTTTTGCTGGATATTGCAATATCAGTCCTACCTAATATCGGATATCAGCGAATTTCGATGCATAAATGAAATGGATATATCCTTTGTTATCGATAGAATCGATCTTGAAAAAAAGGTCTTTTAGACTCTCGTTTTGTTCTTTTACTAATAAGTAGGTACATGTCGACGTCTGTGTCTTCTAGATTCTGTTATAACATCATTGGATTATTAGTATAATCAGCTATAAGTAAAGTATCTTATTTTCATAAATTTATTTTAAACAAATTATTGTAGATATGGATCTTTTTAATAACGTTCGATCCAACTTAATTGTTATTCCAATTGTAATAGTTACGTATACCTTAAGCGTAATATAAAATTGTATAGAAATGTAATTCTCACTTTATATCGCCAATGTCCGCAAATTTTTAAATAATAACAATAGGGTAAATGAAAAACCTAGACACTGAAATAATAATTTGTTTAATATGTTTAATAAGTTATGTATAGATATGGATACTTTCATCCAGGCTCTGAGCACGCCTTCGATACATATGCGATGAAAAATGGTGAAAATGAAGGCAGAATCGATCGATACTAAGAAACCAACGAATCGTGGTGTATCAATTATGAAAGAAAATATGCATGATGACGATTACGGCGTTGAGGCAGAATTGACAAGTCTTTCATGGCTACAATCGCTTGACATTACAAGTGCTTCTAGTTTGCCAACACCACCCTGTTCTCCATCTCCACCTCCTGTAACGCGACAGCCAAGAAAGAAACTTTCACCCCTAATTAAGGCCGAATTAGGTAAGTGAAATTGATTTCATTGCATTGTTATTCGTGGTATCTGTATTGTCATAAACTGTATTATTATAAAAAGTAGAAATTTGTTGTTACCACAAATTTTGACTCGTTGAATTTAGGTTTGCAGATGGTTCTTTTTAGGAGTATCGTAACAATTTAATATGGCTAATAAAATATACGTCTACGGCTAAAGAAATAATAGCTACATACATAAATACACAGATAGGAAAATAAATAATTTTTTAACTAGTATCTATTTATTCGCTTTCTTTTTTTTAAATACCGTTCGTTTATCAAATCTAGCAAATACTTTCTTGTACATGTAAGTAACTACCTACTCGCTACTATTCGGTATAATGTTGAGTATAGGTATTTACATACGCATACTTGATTTACGTAAATAAATCTACATATATAAACATAAAAATATTCGAGAAGCGAAGAAAATCGGCACCTAGAAATATTATGCCTGCAAAGCATCAACAACGTGAAATAATTTTATTTGTTCAGATCTGGCTGCAAATGCCGAGAAGTATCGAACTGACCCTGACGCAAAACCGCCATTTTCGTATGCGACGATCATTTGCTTGGCGATGCGTGCAAATAATAACAAAGTGTCCCTTTCAAATATATATGCATGGATTCGAGAAAACTTCTTATTTTATAAATATGCTGATCCAGCTTGGCAGGTATAGTTAAAAATAAGATAAATTCCAATGTTGAAAATATGCATCTGCGAACATAATCTCCTGCAATTAAATAGATATCATCTAACAGCAGTTTCCTTTATTTTAAACAGAACTCAATTCGACACAATCTATCATTGAACAAGTGTTTTGTCAAGTTACCACGTTCGAAGGATGAACCAGGCAAAGGTGGTTTCTGGAAGTTAGATTTGGAAAGAATGGAAGAAGGTAGAAAATCGAAGCGACGCGCAACAATGTCTCAACGAATTCGTGGATCAAAGAAGCTAACAGCTGCAAAGACGATGGTAACGAACAATATTCAAAGCAATGGCGCCCCATCGATCAACTGTCCGTCAACGTTATACGAGACACCGCCCAGTAGCGTATCTCCTCCAATTCCAGACTGTCTCTCAGAAATTCCCGATTCTACCCAAGTTAGTTTAAGCGAAGATGATCTCACTGGTTTGTTAATCGCTACTGCGGGTTGGGATGAGAATCAGTTGGATCTCTTAGATTCTCTTCTTGATACTCTTTAAAAGATTGGCCGGTTAAAGCCTTTTGTACACAAACTCTGACATTTATATTTAACTTTCTTAACTACTCGTTATCCTACAAATTTATAGATACGTTTACAATCTTTTTCACGAATATGAAACAAATTTAAGTAAGCGGCTTCAGTTTCTAAAGGTTCGATACGTGATTCAAACGATTATACATACTTATCCATCTGGTAGATACTTGAATGTTTTAAAAGATGTTATAAATATTTTCATTTTGAATATTAACTGAGAGATATTTCAAACGAATAAGAAACTATTATTTTGCCCAGTATTACTCTATTTAAGTTTATTGTACCTACGTACGTGGTGCCGATGGACGATAAATTTCCGAAAGGGCAGAAAAATTGTGTATATAAAGTGTATTTCATTTATTTTAAATTAATTTAAAAAATAATATTTATTTATTCACAACGATAATTATCACCGTTGAAATATTTGTTAATACGAAAATATGATTTGTGCTTATTACTTGACTGAATACATACATATATCTATTAGACGAAAATTCTACGATAAATTGATAGTTAATGATACTGTGTATGAAAAATAATTATAATATATTTGTAACACAGTAATTTGCAGTGTGCCTTCGAATAAAGAATAAATATTTATAGTATCATACATTTGCCAAGTCGATTAATTCGTGTAGAGTATGTTTCGTATTCCTGCTTCAAAATAATAAAATACAAAGTGCCTTATAAATACATAAATATTACCAGTAAACAAATTGTACTTCGATTTTTATCTCTTCAAAGTAATTTTCTTGCGTCGGTAAAAGAATTAAAGGAATGTTATTCCGGGAAATTAGAATGTAATAATCAACATTTCGATCATAATTTATTTACTAGTATTACGCAACAATAAAAACAAATATACCTACCTACTTACTACATGTATGAAATAGTCAAATGGCAGAATATGAAGACATAAAATTCCAAAACAAATTGTGCGCGATAATGAATTAATGATAATGAAAGGTAACAAAAAGTTGTCTACGATTTGTAATACTTTTCTACATCGTCATATTTGTGCAGGACTATATCTAGATACATAGCTACGTAGGGTAAGTGCTGCTAATATCGCGTAGTCCGTAATATCGTCTATTCGAAACACGTTGAAAAAAAGACGTTAGAAATCAGCAACGGAAGTTATAGTCAAACATGTACAAAGTATTTTATGTATACTACACATAGATGTACAGTTTCTCGTACTTATATTCATGTGCCCTTTAAAACAAAAAAAGTAACTTTTTTAAAATTGGATTGAACGATTCGAGTTTTTGGACAAGTTGGATGAATAAGTTTCCTAATTAGACTTGTAGAGGATGAGGTAGCTCAAATATCAATATTATACTCTAAGTGTCGTGAGCACTTTATTTGTAATGCCTCGATACAAAGCACAAATCCAGATATATAATTAATCGGAATAAATACGCGCGTGTGTCGAGAAACTTCGTATACACTTTGATGCGTTGATATGCTTACTCTTCGATTGCTAAACTCTCTCCTCGTCAATTCGCTCGTTTATTTATACTGGTCAGAGGACAGTCGGAAAGTTTGATCTCGACTGCGTTTGACGCTTGAAAGTAACGGCGACATTATTTTGCTCGGAGTTTGATTATTAATACAATATGTGTGTGTCCTACGATATTGATGCTCCGAGGCAAAACAACAATAAGATTTGAATTTATTAGCGTGCCGCTGCAGACTAATTTCCCTGTAATGAAAATTTAAGAAATATATTTTGTAGATTTGTCAGTTATACAGGGTGGTTTGTAACTGGTGGTACAAGCGGAAAGGGGGTGATTCTACGCAAAAAAGAAATCGAAAATATAGAACAAACATTTTTTTTTTAATTTTTCCATCGAGACAACGATCTACAGTGAGATCCGTTATAACGAGACGCGATAAAGTGCACGCGTACCGAGCGAAAATTCAAAGTGGATTTTCTCGAAGACAAAGCCTCAAACGAAAAATTTGTATTGTATATTTTCGACTTCTTTTTTCGCGTAGAATCGCCCCCTTTCCGCTTGTATCACCAATTACCAATCACCCTGTATTGCATACTGAAAATTCCATCGAAATCGATTAACGCTGCTATTAGCTACAAACGGTTAAAAATGATGAGAATTGCAGTTTTTCACGACATTGGGTCTATACCTTACAACTGTAATAAATCCAAAGATTCTTACGTCTTTCGATGTATATCGCTTGTTTACGCAACAAGCGATATCGGTGAAATTTTCAGCATGTAGTATAGCTGTAACTGACATAAACCGTATTTTTTTAATTTTGATTACAGGCTCAGATAAAAAGATTGCAAAAAGAAATCTCTGTAACTATAATTTTCTTCGCGATTCCGATCAATTGCAATTGTTTCAAAAATTTTTTACACGTCATTTAGTAAATTACTTCATCTAACTTCTAAAAAGGCTCAGCCTCCAAGTTTTAAAGAGTAGACGAATAGGATAAGTGTGAGTAGGTGCCTAATGTCTCTTTCGTTTCAGACTAATTTGATATAAAAATGCCTCTTACCCTTTGAGAACGACATGAAATTTACTAGATGCACTTATGACATACAATCTATAATCATAAAAACTTAATACTAAAAATTTTTTTATATAAAATCCTGATATTGTCGTGAAATATGATAATTTTTCAATTAGGTTAACCAATCGATATTTTCTACAAATGATTTCTATCGGATCGGACATCGAATGGCAATTATTTATTGATCATAAATAATGAAAGACAAATAACGGAAGAATTAACTATACGCGATTCAAATGGTGACTAATTGATTATATTAAATATTTCTGTATCTGATTTAAATTGAAATTAATTTCCGTCCAGATGTTGTTTGCGACATTTTATAAAATAAAATATTTTTATGCGCACTATATATTCTCCTATTTCATATATTTTTATCGAAGGTTCTTTTTATTCTTTCTTAATTAGAAAAAAAATATAGGTATAGTAGTAATTAGTGACTACGTGTGCACATGATTTAATAATTATACACTAAGGTGATCGTAACTTCTAAGAATCACTTTATATTGAATTGTATGTGAAATGTAGGTATTTACCATAAAATAGTAAATACTTTGCATATGGATATTTTATTGCAGCGAAAATAGTTATTGACTAAATACAAAAAGCGAAACTTCCATTCTAGCCCATATTGTAGTCTTTCACGTATTTTAATAATATAATTTGTACATAAATCTTTTTGTTCTTTTAAGTTTCACATCAAAATCGGAGTAATATTTTTTTTAAACAGCTGTAAAACCTTTATCATAGTATATTTGTATTTGAAGTACTATATTATAGTATTAAAGTACTATATTATAGTATATTTGAATTTGAAGTACATTTCATGTTTTATAAAATGTATTTAATTGATAATTATATGTAAATTTGAGTATGTTGTATAAAATAAAACCATTTTCATGAGATAGAAAAAGTGAAATAATTGGTTCCCTAAAAGAACTATTCATTTCCCAATGGAAGATAAATGGAAGAAAATGATATAACAATTCTTTTAAAAATTCATGATACGAAGAGAAATTATTAAAAAACCAAAAGCAATGATCGATTACAATTATATCAGAAGTAAATTAAACATATCATAATATTTGCAAAATTATGAAATAGTCAAAGAACATGGAAAAACTTTTATTACAAAATATTTAATATATTTATTAAATTAAACAATCTGGAACAATCTGGAACAGTCTGGAAGAAAAAGCTTTAACTTCTACCAAATTCTATATATATACATACATGTGTACGTATAATATCATGTACATCATACATTACATAAAGACAAATTTTTATTGCAATACAATATTTTTGATAATTCAATAATAGATTTTATTTTATTTAAATAAAATGTTATAACCTATAAATATATATATATACATATGTATATAAATGATGTTTTACAAGTTTAGAAATAATAACATCAAATATTTCAAACATAGCAAATTGAAATGTTTGCACTTATTAAATAATATTTCTGAATAGCTTCGATTGTTAAATAAAAGTATGACATTAATTATGAATTAAAATAACAATTGACTCGAAGTAAATGAAAACAATAAAACTGTGAAAAATTGCTATGAATTGTTCTAAATCATAATCGGTATAGTAGCGTATTTAAGTACACGTACATATGTCACAAAATTAGGTATCATAACCTTAAACTGTCAAACTTTTAATGTACATATTGTAGAATATTTACAGTGTAACATTATGGTTGATGCAAAGGAAACAATTATACAAAAATTTAATATGGAATTAGGAAATGATCTGAAAGGGCTTAATAAAATATACGAATTTCACCAATCCCTTAATGCACAGAAAAATGAAATTGAAAAGTCGGTATGTATTTAAAAATATATTATTATTTTAGGACTTTGCCAAAGATAATATATACTTTTACATGTCTTCGCAAACATAGTGCAAAAGATGTTTTTAGTTATTGGTCTTTTAAATTTTTAGTTATCAATGGCATCGACTGAAGCTCCGTCAAAAGTAAAGGCAGTTATAGAAAGTGTTGAAAAAATTAGTGTTGAATTTCAACAATTGGAAGAAAATTCTGCAGAGTTCAGAGGTAACATACAAGAAACAATGCAAGAAAATGATAAAAGTTTTGAAATGCAAAAAATTATTAACGTTATAAGTTATTTGGATAAATCTTTATCATATCTAAATTTCATAAAATATGTTGAAAATATTAGGTAAATTATTATTCAACTATTTATATTTTACAATTATTTAAAACTTTAAAAGATTATGATTTTAGTGATGAAATACAAGTATCTCTGACAAATGGTGATGACGAATCAACTATTTCATTATATGCGGACCTTACAAATATTAGTTGTCAACTACGATCATCAAATTGTCATTATCTCCAAAATTATGTCAAAGAAACTCTTCACTTTTGGCATAACCTTATAAAGGATAAATTGTCCAAGTATGCAATATGTATATATGTATTTATGTATGTATATGTGATTAATTATACATAATAATAATTTTCAGAGAATATAATGATATACTAAAAACATTAAAGTGGCCCTTTTGTGGCAGTAATGCAAATACATTACATACTCCTATGCCAGAAACATTAATAAAATTTAAAATACTTACAGAATATTTATTGCACTTACAATTACCGTATCCTTAGAAAGCATAAATTTTATTTTCGTATTTTATTAAGTTTATCTATGTTGTTGGAATAGATATATTTCATCTTTGACTAAATGTATAGAGAAGAATCTGCAAAGTCTGTGGTAACATCAGTTTTATTAACTGATTTTACTCCTGTGAGTTTACCAATTTCATTGCTAGTACGGCCACTTAGACAAAGATTTATATATCATTTCACAGGTTCTAAGTTAACAAATCGGCAAGATAAACCTGAATGGTTCTTTACTCAAATATTAACTTGGATTAAAGATCATGTTCAGTGGGTCCAGAAAAATGTACAACCTGCTGCAAATTCAATAGGTCTCAATTATATAGATATGAAGGTAATATACAATTGAATATACATTGTTTTTATTGTTATTTACACATTGAAACATAGAATAAAATTTTGTATATATTCTGTCGTGATAGGTCGAGTTCATGCGAGCTTTAATACAATTAGCAGTTGAAAAACTACATTCTGAATTATCGATAGTGCAGTACGATGATGCCTTATTTGCTCATTTGGTTGATGAAGCTTTAGGTTTTGAACGGGAATTGAGAGAGACGTTATTTTATCCTTCAACTCAACCAGCTACTGTTTTTGTACTTACACAAGCTCATATTTTTGTAAAGTGGATTAACATGGAAAAAAAATGTAATGTTATAAAATGTTTTTTTATTATTTTTTATTTAAGCAATCATTTATTTAATATATTATAATTTCATATGAAATGTTAAATTAATTTTTTATTAAAATGGTTTTAAACATTTTATTCGTATTATATTATCAGATGCAACCGAAAAAATGGATGCCATTTTGAGTTCAAATACAGCTTGGGACAAATTACCAAGCTCCGATACTGATGATATGAAAGTAACTGAATGTGCAGATGCTTTTTTAACGCTTCTCACGACAATTTCTGATAGGTATAAGCATTTACCTCAACCAGGGCACAGGTAAGTGGATAATATATACGATCATTCATACAATAAAATTATATTGTGCAATTATATATATACATATATAAGTACATACTTGAAAAGTATCTTGAATATCTTGAAAAATGTTTCGGACAAAAGCTATTGACATAAAATTTTTGAACATGTACATGAATTTTTTATTTTTGCAGGTTACAGTTTCTTGAACTACAATTAGAATTAATTGACGACTGGAGAGTAAGATTGCTTCAATTATTACATGAAAATTATGAAGATCCTTTAACATCTCTTATGCCATGTATTCTTAATACATTACATTATGTGGCAACTGTTTTAGAAGAGTGGGGTGTAACAGTAGTAAGTATTTTATATATAAAATACATGTTTCAGAGAGATATTTTTTATATATTATCTAATTTCTTATTTCTAGCATTTTTTGCAATTATACTTCTTCAAGCAACAGTTTGAAACAGTTGAAACTGCTACATTGAAAGGAAATGATATTACTACAAACGTAGGAGAAGTTGAAGGTTCTGTATTTGATGAAGCTGTTGCTCTCTTAAGAAGATTAGAAAAGAAATTAATAAATGAAATTAGTGATTCTGTATCTTTAGATGTAAAAGCAAAAAGCAGACCATATAGAACAGATAAGTACGGATGTTCAATACCAAATTTATTTATATATTATTATGTATGTAAAAATAACAGTTTAATATTTACGTATGAAGTGAAAAAATGTTCATTGTAGAGAAGTTTAGGGTTTTAATTATCGCATATTTTTTTTATATTGACACTAAATCTTTTACTCTGAATTTTTTAAATTTAGATTTGGTAAGAAAATTGCTTTTTAATTATTATGTCTTTTACATTATAATGTTAAATGTTAATAATTATTAACAATAATGGAACATTAAATATGAAAGTAAGAATAATGTAATGAAGACAAGTAACACATTTTTCTAAAGTATAGTTTTAAATAAGTTAACTATTTATTATAGTAACAGATAAAGTTCTTTTTTAACATTATTTTGTATCATGTTAATTTTTTAAATATTTGTATGTAAACGTACATAAATATTAAGTATTTCATTATGTATAATTACATATACAAAGTTACATACAGAGTTTCTAGGAATATAAAATTAATTTGGATCATATTTTCTACAGATGGTTTGCAATGCAGTCCACTAAAGAAATTGTTTCTTTGTCTGTGACACCAAGTGGCTATTCCATGTTTCAAGAATTAGCAACACAACTTAATCTGTTGCACAACACACTTGCTTTGCCACTATTTCAGCAAGCTTGGAAAACTTTAGCTTCACAATTCGATCAAGTTAGATATAAATTATGAAATTATTTTAAAAACTAACGTTATATTAAGTATTTATACAAATAGATATTTTTTATTGCAGTTTATTTTAGAAGAAGTTGTTCTAGTAAATCATTTTAACATGGGTGGAGCTGAACAATTACAATATGACATTTTCAGAAACTTGTTTCCATTATTTGGCCTATATATTAGTGAACCAGAATCATATTTTCCTTTGTAAGTAACAGATAATTATGATATTATCTATAGAGAGGGAAGGGGGGAGTGAGAGAGAAAGAGAAAGAGAGAGAGAGAGAACATGAAATATCTGAATATGCAAATTTCTTTTGAAAACATTTTAATTCTTTAATACTTAAATCTGACAAATTACAAATTTATTGCACTATACTGTTTATTTTATTAGCATAAGGAATTTGTATATTTTGTTTCAAACATACCTTCTTTCCTTACACTATGTAGTATACATATATGTTTAATATTCTGTATATTTAATTGTCCAAATAATATTTCAGGATTAAAGAAGCATGCATTCTATTAAATATCATGTTAGGTTCAGCGATGTTACTTGTTGAAGCTCTGAACAATGAGGACGAACTTGCTGGACGCGAGATACTAGCAGATCTTGGTATCTATAAAATGTCCCCTGAACTTGCTTTAAAAATAATTGGAACAAGGACAGACATAACCTATGTATAAAATTTTTTCCTTATGCTATGTCATAAAAAATGAAATTATTTAATTTTGTATATAGTATACTACATCCTTTTTAAAAATGATGAATAGACATTAATGCTTTAATTAAATTTGTAAAATTGTATATTTAAATTATTAAATTTATGTATATATATTAATTTATATTTAAAGGTCATATGTATATATAGTATTTAACAAATTAATGTTATTCCACCATTATCTGCTCCTAATAGCAATAATCTATTAAGAGGGAGAACCGCCATTGTCGTAAGGAGACCTTTGAAAGTATCAGACTTTAATTTTGATGATGAAAATGAAGCTGTTGTTTCTATGGATGTGTAAACTCCTATCCGATTTGCAGTTGTTCCTATAACTAATTCTTGTTCATACGTAGTCATGCAATGAACTGGTTCTGTGGAGCCCCTAAAAATTAAAAATATAAAATTTATTTCTTTATTCAAATATATTTAAAACGACAACTTTGATCATGTAATAAAAGATAACATCTTATTTTACTTCATATGAAATTTTAGTTTCCCATCTAGTGCACTCCATACAGCAATAGTTTCATCTAGTGAAGAACTAATTAATGTAGTTTCATTAATTGCCTCTAATTGTAATATCTGAAAGAAGAGCAATTAAGTATTTCTATATTGAATATTTTTATGATCATGTTTTAGAAATAACACACTTCACATTCATGGCCTTTCCAAGATGCAATAATAAGTCCAGTACGAATATCTAAAATTGTTAAAAAACCTGATGCTTGACCCAATGCTACCCAATAACCACTAGGTGCTACTGCAATACATCGAATCAAACCTGTTGGATTTACAGATACCTGAAGAAAAAGGAAATAATTATTTTATTAAATAGCTTATAATGGCATACTTAATATGATAATACTTACTTTCATTTCATTGACATACTGAAATGTTCTACAATCAATAACTCTCAGAGTAATATCAGTTGTACCCACAAGTAAAGTTGTACATGGGGGAGGACTTGCAGCTAGTGTATTTACAGGGACTGGACGTGAGCTTTCTGGACATCCAAGAAGGGAACCCATAAAAGGATCCCAGCAATGAATTGTGCCATCACAGGTAACTACATATCGTAAAGATTCTAGGAATGTAAGGGCAAGGATCGACTTTTTATGTCCAGTATAAGTATACTGACAGGACGTGACAGTGTTTCCATCCCCCTATTGATAAAATATGCTACTTAAGTGTAAGCTCTTTTTATATATATAAAATATATGTCTCTATATCTATTAATATAAGATTTTTATATTGAATACCACTAATATTCTATTATTATAATATTTTCTACATTAATTGATATAATCTTATTACTTTAATTTTCTTTGTTTTTATTTATTTTCTTTTTTTTTTAAATTTCTTTTATTATGAAAGATTTCTCTGCCTGTTTGTCTTTCTCTTGGCATTATTCCAAAGTCATAGTACAAACAGAAAGAAAATGATTTCTAATGTAAAAGTAGATTGAAAATATAGAAAAGGTTTTATTTTATGTTTTTAATTTACTTTCACGTAAGAAGTCACCTCCGTTTCAGATGTATCACGATTTTAGAATTACATTGCATACGTTTAGGATTGGTATAACATATGTATAATTTTACCTGACTTCTTAAACTCCATAATTTCACAGTCTTATCTCTTCCTCCACTCATGAAACTATTCTCATTATCTAACACATACAGGCATCTAATACTATTAGTATGACCGCTGAAAGTTTGGAGTTTTATTTGTTTTATATTAAATGCTGTATCTTTTTCTGATCTTCCAATTTCATGTTCCCAATATGCTAACCAATTTCCTCGTAACTGTCTTCCATTTGATAAAGAACAATTTGCTTCACGATTAGATATTATGTTTTCTGAAGTAACATAATCCCCAGCGTCATTCGTTTGCACAGCAAACCTATTTCCCACAATTGATATATTTTCAAAATTAACTGCATCTTTATTTTTTATTTCCGTATTTCCTGTTACATTATAATTGTTGTATGATGTATTATACTTGTTATCATCTTTAAAAGAATTGAAAGATACATTAAATTAAAGATCTTAAGTAAAAAGATCTATAAAAACTGTAAAAAGAGGGAAGTAAAAATAAATGGAATATAATATAGAATATACCAGTGTTAAAAATCGTTTTTGTTTCTTGCTCATATTTATGACATAAATTGCGTATATGTTCATGATTTTTAAGTATTTGTTCCATTACTTCACTATCAATACATTTATAAAAGAGCATATATGTTTTATGAGCAAATTCTGTTGTAAATACAGCTTTTAGTTCTTCAAGTGCCTAAATATATGTTGGATATCTAATAAACTGCAGTAACTATTAAATATAAAAATTTATTAAATAATATCTTTAGTTACCTTATTCTTTTGAGTATCAGCGGCATCTATATTTTCTACAACTGGGGGAGAATAAGAATCAGCAACATCTTGATTAAAATTTGTTTGAGGTCCCAGAATATCTCTATTATCTTCATTTAAAATCTTTACACTATAAAAATACATATATCCATATATTATACTTTTATTATAGTAGAACATATGATTCTCTCATATGTTTATGTATTTGTTATGTTTAAAATAATATTAAAATATGTAATGTAATATGTACCTTATAAAGTGCTCACTTATTGTCTTTTGGTGAATCTCATCCTTAACATTTTCTGTAACATCTTGATTAAATGATTTATCAAATGCTAAAAAAAAACGTTGAATAGGTACAGCTAAATGATTTCTTGTAATGACACTACCCAATCGTAAACTAAACATAAATAAAGTTTCTAAACATTTTTCTGTCATTATCGAACGTGCGATTATACCATTGGGAAAAGTGAATCTTGTGGATGATAATATACGAACTGTAGGATACAGTATTGCTTTCACGATTGGTTCCTAAAATGGAAAATGGGAAATGGGTATATTGTCAAATATGCACTGTTCAGTGTTAAAAAACTTGTACAATATTTATCATACATGAAGTATATCCATCAGTACTGCGTCACTAAGATATGGCGTAATATGGTTTAAAAGGGTTAAACATGAAATAAGTCCCCCTTCTAAATTTTGTGTCAACTTTCTTTTACAAAGTGCTAGAAGTTCTACCATGTGTGCAAAATATTGCAATACTATAATTTGTTCTCCATATAAACCTATATAAATATTTAAATTAGTTTCATTTTTAGAACTTTAAGTTGGTGATTACATACATAAATTATACAAATAAAATAACCTGCAATAGCTGCAAGGCATTCCAACACTTTATTAGCATTATGATCACCAAGTAAAACTTTCTTATTCCAGGGAATACCTTCAATAAACAAGGAAGTATCATCGGTTATTGTTAAGTTCTCTTTCCCAGTGTAACATAATGTAAGCATCCTCAATAAATTTCGTGATAAATATCGGGCAGTAAGCACGGGACCAAGTCGATGAGACAACCAGATAATAGATTCAGCACTCATTTCAGATGTTGTGCACTCATTCGATGTAGACTTTTGATAAGTGTGATCCAATTGGATATTTTCATGTTCTGCAGTGCTAGATTTATTAACATCCATTTTTAATATTGCAGAATTTTGTTCTTCAACTCCTATAGTACATGTTTCCTCAGAAGTATTAGTAGGATGGCCAAATCCACCATAAGTAAATTCATCATTAGAAGTCTTACTTCCAACATGACAACCAATATTACTAAACTCTGTCAGAGATTTACTGGAAGAATTGGATATTTTTGGTATAGGAATTGTTGGCGATTTAACAGATTTCAGTGGTGAAATTTTACTTCCCTCTTCATTTAAATCATCATTTAGATTCAAACTCAAATCAACATTTAGATCAATATCATATGTTGCACCAGAATTTAGAGATATCCAAGAACTTTCTTCTGTTTCCATTGTAAATACTTCTATAGTAAGGAAAGTACATAAAAATTTTTACAATTTTTTAGATATATGTATGTTTATTATATTTGATCGCTTACCCTCGACATCATTGTCAGCTGAATTTATATCACGTGCATAGTCACCAGTTATAGGTACAGGTGATAAAGTAATATTATGTTCTGAATCTGCAGAAAAATCCTCATCTAAAGGAGATAAAATTCCTTCTCCATCATTACATATCCCACTTAAATCACAACTCCTGTAAGAGGAAATAAACTCATCAGAAGCTATTCATATTAATGGATATATGTATACATATACGCTGGTATAGTATGTTTAGTAGGGAGTCAATTAATACACTGCTGTTAATATTAATATTAAGAATAACTTACACCGGGATGCTTTGAGTATACAAATTCTGTAATACTGGACAGTGAAAGTCTCAAGTCTAACTATATATGCATGTTGTGTATATATTGATTTAAATTAATTTCCTTTTAAAATTATGTAATTTTTGTTAGAACTATTTTACTGTAATATAATTGTTATATATTTAAAAATTTTGTATGTGATTTTTCTTACTTGAGATTGCCAGTTTTATGAATATATGTTGAAGATCCTTGCACATAATCTCTGTAGCCTCCAACTGCTTCCACAAGAGGTGCAATAAAATTTTCCAAAAATCGTCGTAAACCCAATCTTACCATAAGCTTAAGCAAGAAATTTCTATGATATAAACGCGTAGTTTTCAATTTTGCTATTAATCCTGAAGGGAGAATATCAGCATGAGCAAAATTATCTATAAAGGAACCATTTTCATATAATTTCATAATGGATAAAAGGAATGTTTGTGCAGTATCTCGAGGACCCAATGCTCTGGAAAAATACCAATTATACAATACATTAAAAAAAATAGTAAGTTAGAAAAAGATTAAAATATTATAAATATCAAATATATCAAAGAAAGCTATTTAATTTTATTATAAAGTATAATATTTTATAATGAATATTTGAACATTCATAAAAATGAACGAAAAATCTTATAATTTATAAATAACTTACTTAGCAATAGGATCAAATAAATGCCATGCAGCCAAAACAGCACTATAAGGTTCTTCCATTACTTGCTGTATATGAGGCATTATTAGCTCTAAATATGCTTCCCTTGCAACTCCAGTATGGAACAATACATGTTCTAATTCTCTTGCAATTGCTTTAACTTTACATTCACTGATCTTACAAAGGAATTTTGTTTTTGTCTTACATATAAAATCTATATCTTCTTCAGACTTCATTATAAAATTTAATTCACGAACTAAATTATTATATTCTTGTAACATTTCTACAATATTAAACAGATATTTATAATACTTGGAAAATGGAAATAAACTTCCAGAAAGTATTGGTTGTAAAAATTGATGTGCAGATGGTGGAGGTAGACCCATGTGTGTAATAGTTGGGTAACGAAAAGGCATATCAGTTACCTGAAAAATCACATAATATTATATAATTTTATTATACAATATAACTATATCTAATCTAATCAAAATATTACAAATTTATAACGTTATATATATATATATATATATATATATATTAATAATCTATTAATCAACATATAATAGATTAATATAATATAGAAAGAGATGAATACATAATATAAAGTAATGTCATTAAATATTTATTATAATAATTACTTAGAGAAATACTTACTTCTATGTTATCAATATCGTAACTATTTGGTATAATATCAACTTGAAGTAATAAGGCAACAGCATTTCTTACACATTTAGGTAGACTATCAGCCGACATTTTCAAGATGTTTAAGCATGTAGCAAGTCTTTTTACAAATGATACTTTTTCAACATTCCATGTTGCTCGAAATTTGTTAGACAAAAATATTTCCAAAATTAAACAACCGAGAATTTGTTGTTCCTTAATACGTCCACTAGCCACAATTTGTTTGTAATTTGTGGATGACTCATGTAACTCAAATTGCGGTTTATAAACTTGAGAGCTTACTTTATTCATAAATGCATGCATAGTTTCCACATGCAAAATAGCTGTAACAGGGTTATAATCTTTTGGAAGAATTATTGTCTGACTTGTAGATTTATCTTGTTTAGCATTATCTTCAGTAGTGAGTAAAGAACCTCGAGAACGACTTAATAATCGACTTAAGACTAAAGGAGACGATCTCGATGTATTTATAATTGATGTTGGTAATTCTTCTTCTTCAAATCCAGAACTATGACCTTCATCATCACTAGTTCTATTCCCAGATTGATCACTTTCTATAATAAATTACTGTATTAGTTTTAGAAAGAAACAAAATTATGTCAAAAAATTGAAACTCTCATATTAGACATACTATACTTATTGATTGAGAAAGATGAGCGTAGTCGGGGTGGGATCTTACACCAGTAAGGTGAAGGAATGATTTTCTGAGGATGTGGTTGTGTAAAAAGTTGAACAATTCCAGAGTTAGTTAAAGTAGTATGATTGTCAACAAGTTGCAAACAGACGTTTTTAGATTTTACTGCTGCTGAACCGGATAATCTATAATGTAAAAAAATAAATAATAATAACATTAATATATGTTATCAATCAATGTTAGAATAAACAAGCAATATTTACTTATAACCAAAAGTTAGATCTATCCAGTGATGTAATCTTTCAGAAACATGAAAACTTTCTAAAGCTTCTCTATGTCTTTCAATAAAATCTTCTGGAGATGTCGCCCATCCAGGAATTTCTAAATCTGGCAAATCTTCATGAATGGACTGTAATTTTCAAATAGTTATATACATATTATACCTAATTACATATATTATGTAAACTATATTATGTAATTTTATTATTTTTATCTTGCCTTAAAAACTCTAGGATCAGTAAAAAATTGTGGTATACATTCATCTGGACTCCAGTCATGTAACCTTTGTATCGAGGCAGGATATTCACCTGGCACCCATTGTGATCGTACATATTTACAAAGGACAGATTTATTATAGCGACGAGAAAGATAAACGTAGTACGTGATTTCTGATAATACATCTGATACATGATGCCCCACCTGCAAATATTACGGAAATTATAATTAATTAAATAATTATTGTATCAAGTAATTTAATTGGTAAATATTGTTCATATACATACTTCAGTTGATTGTGAATCAAATGTTAAATCTAATTGTCTGTCACCTTTGTTCAATCGAAATTTAGATTTTGTCAAATCTCTCCAATTACCACCACATCTTGATGTAAAATCTGTGACCCAAGGCATTACATGATGACAACTTGGATCACCGTATCTTCTACCAGCCAAATTATTCAATGCAGTTAAATAATCATAATTACTAATACAATTATACACCCACATTTCACACAATTTTTCAATATTTGCATTTATTCCAAATTTAAAATTTTCTTGTACTATAGAATTTGATGAAATTGTATCTAAATTCTTTTTACAGCCATTAAAATTTTTTACTTTAATTTCCTGACTAGTAGAAACTTTGAAATGTTCATTTTCAGGTTTTATATATATATTGTCACTTACTTTTGGTAACACCTAACAATAAAATCTGGGAAAGTAGTTATAATTTCAATAGAAAATTAAATTAATAAAAGATATTTATAAAAATCTTGTGAATATTAACCTGAATAGTAAAATTATCCATAAGTAATATATCACTAAGGGTAATTTCACCTAATACTAAACCCCGATCATGTAAATCTCTAGATAATTGTAATAGCTGATATATTAAAAACAATGGTTTTCCATGACTCATACTTAAAGCAGCAGGACTGTACATTACACACCTTTAAAAGCAATAAATAATTAACAGATAATCAATTACAAAATTAATAAGAAATCACAGTTGGAATATATAATATGTACTTACTCACGGAGAGAATATTCTGCAGTTTGCTCATGTAATGTTAGAAAGGCAGATGTAGTTTCAATAGCAAACAATATTGGAAGAAGATTGCAATGTATTTCGGTTGGTGTACCAGGCAACACAGATACCACTGATCCATTTTGTATTTGTACCAAAGTACAACCATACATTTTTTGCAATACTTCTTGCATAATCCATATATCACTTACATTAGCAGTTATATTGTATTGTTCTCTATGTTCTATGCAATTCCATGGACCTGTACGTACAAATAAAAATGGACATATATATGTACATATAAAACCAAAAAAATAAATTTATTTTTCCAACATATAATTAGAGTAATTAATTGTATTACATACTGTAATACTTTTTATAACATTCTTTCCACAAATTTCTATAATTAGTTTCTGCAACATAGTGCATTAATTGTGAATATGTTAGATCTGAATGAGTATTTCCATTTATATTCCTTCCTCTTGGGAGTGGAACAGCATATTTATGCTGTTTTTCATAAATCTAGGAATTAAAATAATTATCACATATATCTCTAAAAATGTTATGGACTTTAATAATATAGATTACACAAAATACTTTTAATTATAGCTAATAATATCATAATTGAATCTAGCATATAGCAAAGTTGAATAAGAGTGTGAATAAGAAATCTATGTAAATCAATCTCATCTTGTGGTTGGCACGCAAAAATTAATAAAATATATATATATATCATAATTGCCATATTATTGTATTTATAACTTACAAAAGACAAAAAAGCTGTATAAATATTCCATCATAACTGAAAAAGTATTTAAAACAAATTAAAGAAGTTAGTGCCTTTATCTATATAAATTAACATACTCTAACATATATTCTTATCCAGTCTGGACCCAGATCGTCAAGTGTAGGATAAGCTGCAATTTCATCTTCACTTAATCGTTCGTGATTAATAAAAGAGATTGGACCTGTGTTAACTAAACTGGTTAACCAATTTTTATGAATGGTTAAACAAATTCTACCATCTATTACTTTTATATATTTTGTGGGTACCAGTAACTCTTTTGTCATTACATCCATTTTTTATCCTTATGGTTTATATCTACAAAGATAAAATTTTTCGATTTATATATTTTTCTGTTTAAATTTTTAAGTTTAAATAAAAAGAAATGTAATGTAACACTGTTTAATCGTTAAATTCATACCGTATCTGCACTATAATAAGGCGAAAAGTTAGTTCACTAAACATCTACTACGTATGTTTATTATTTTTGTCGTTTAACGCCAAACACAGCTGATTTGTATCAAATGAACAGCTGACACTAGACGCCATATTTAGATGCAATTTTGTAATACGTAATGATTGAAATCAAAGCTGAAATGTATTCAAAAATAACTTTCTATGCAGCGCGATTCTTTTTCTATTAAAATATTTCGTAAATTTTTTGTTACGCTTATTATATGTAATATTACGTATTATATTGTTCTAGAGCATAACCTATAATTTCCGCAAAAAGATATGCTTATACATATTATACAGAGCTTTACTCATGTCTGTATAATATGTAAGTATATATGTACATATATACTTACTTACAATGAATGGAAAATTTTTAATAATTTTTGTAATAATAAAAATGGAGAAGAAATTTGGTTATCATAGAATGAATTATAAACAAGTTTATTCTCAAATATCTTTTTATAACACCTTCCTCTATTTCAATTTTTTCAGTAATTAAAATGAAAATATTTTTAATTATATTGTATAATTATAATAACATATAAAATTGAAGATATAAACAATCAATCATATTCGTACGTATTTAAAATATTTATATTTATCTTACTTTCTTTCATTGCAGCTTTATTGAAAGGAAGACAAAGAAAGGTCTACAGAAATAAAAAATTTCAGAAAAATGAATGAATGTAAAAAAAGAATGATTTATTTTATTAAAAATCAGTTTGTAACTTTAGTTACAAATTTCTCCGTCTATGACATTTCATGTTCATATGTTCACGTTTTGTGTAGAAAAATTTAGTTTATAAGAGAGTCATATATTGATTATTGATTAAACTATATAGTATTAATACAGGTCTTTGTTTCTCTTTCCTTACTTCTTGCATTTCTTCACATATCTCCTTTATGTACTTTTTATGTCTTGGATGTCTAAAAGAGTAGACAAAAATTTTCATTAACAAAAATCTGTAAATTAGTTTTAAATAGATATTAACCCTTTGCAGTCGGCATATTTTTCTGGTGATATCAATTAATTGAAGTTTATATTTAATGTCACTTTTGACATAAAAAAATTATTTTGGGACAAATATATTTTATTGTATATTACTTATAGTGTACAAAAATTAACAAATTTTCATTTTGTAAAGTAATATTTGTTAAATCAGAGAAGTTAATCAATGATATTTGTTAAAACAATCACCGATATGGAGTTTCCGAGTACAAGTACTGCAATAGGTACATGTTTCTCATCTTCCTCCTGGGACTCTTCTGATCGAACTTACTGCACAATCTTGTTTACTTCCTGAACGAAGTATATGGAGTGTATTATTTAATTTAATTTCTGCATGTGAGATTGAAGGTTGCGTTCTAGATGAACGGCCTTGATTTTCTACTAATTGTATTTCTAACAATTCCACTAATTTGCAATTAGTAGTTCTATAGATTTTGTATGTGTTAGCGATTTTTTATGGTTATTTTATTTTATGGCTTTATATATTACATACAATTTGATAATGTACATTTCCATATCCTTCCCAAAATAACGATTTCTTGAGGAAACAGTAAATTGGTGCATATTGGTCAGCGCGATCTATTGCTCGTATTTTTTTCATATAATTTATAGCGATAATAGGCCTTGTTATACCTACTGTATCATCACAACATATATTTATTTTAATGGATTGTTTTCTTGCTTCATCATAGGTAATAAGAAAAGTTACAACTCGCTTGCGCTTTCGCGCAGAGTAATGTATTATTTCTCTTATATGCCACAGTAGACTTTCCCAAAAATTTAAGTTCTTTAATAGCAGCTGGAAAATATTTTCCATTTGGCATTATAGTATCAGTTAAATGAATTTTTAATTTCAGCTCATCAGTAAGGGCATACTTGTAAAGTAGCTTCTATTAAATAACTTTCAACATTTGGAATGTTAATCAGTATTTTTTTAACTAACGTCAATGTAATTCGAGAATTAATCGTAAGTCCTAGTTTGAGCGGCTTCTTAATTAACAAACTATTATAATAGGGTAAGATTGAATGAACATAACCAATCTCCACATCCGTTAATACGTAAATTTGTATCAATATTCCATTTAGTATGTTTGTTTGGATTGTATGTTACAAAGGTTATTTTCTCTTTAAATTTTACTACAGATTCATGTACACAAATACCTTTACCAGGTATGTTCTGCAAAATTTGTGTTGATATATTGTAGAAAATTGTCTACCTTTTAAGTAGAGATTTTCAAATTTTTGCCTTGTGAAAGATTGATGTATAGATGTAATGTCTAAAAAATTTGAGAGAATTTGAGAGAATGCAAATGGCACTGTTTCCATATTAAGATTACACCAACATAAGTTATAAATTTTTCATGTCCCATCCACCCACGAATACCAAATTGAGTTTTTGGACAGTTGCTTTTCACTTATCTTCCTTTTTGCACACTCATTTATCTCTTGTACTATATTCTTTATTAATATATTAATAAAATATACTTTAAAAAATCCAATAATTTTTTTATACTCTGTGGTACTTGTGCTTTTACTGTTCATGGAGAAGTTTTAAAATCAAAAGTAAATGGCAAATTGTCTTAATATTCTGTAATATTCTTCATTACTTTCACCAAAATCTTCTATTTCTTCTGCATGCTCCTCTTTATTATTTTCACCATCCTCATTATAACTTTCAGCCTTTATTATCTTTCATTGTTTGGCAGAAATTATATTACTGTCACTAGTTTCACTATCATTATTTACATTAGAAATATCCATATTTTGATCATACATTTCAAATTCAAAGCCATCATCACTTTCAATAGTATGAAAATCATTATTATACTTCTTTGTCATTTTTAGGAATCATTTTAGGAATAGGATTATACTGATAAAATACACTTAACATCAAATATTGTAATCTTGCACATAGAATATCAGAGAATATCTTGAATTACCTTCCTTAGTACACAAGATTGATTACAAATTGTTTCTTCAATACAAAAATGTACTGGATATTTAAATGAAATTATTTTTAAAAACTAAATTGTAAGATTTCTTAGAAATACTTAAAAAGAGATGGTAAAAAATAATAAATATTTACAATATCTCTTCAATATACCTATGTTACCTTTTCTTCATAGAAAAAGATTATATCGCCATAGTGACGCCATCCGACTTTAAAGACAGATTTTAAATAACGCTACTATAGCGATATCCAACGGCAAAGGGTTAAAAATATTATTATAAATTTGTGCTATAATAAAAGCAATTCAGAAATTCTATTCTATTATACATAATATCGTTTTCTTATATACAGATACACAAACAGAATTTAATTTATAGCATTCAAATGAAATTTGACCAAATTAAGGATCATTAATTTTTTAAATTTCATTTTTTAATATGATTTTATAAATAAATAAGTAATAAATAATAACAACAACTTACTTGTCTATGATAATTTGTATACTTTTTAGAAAATCTTGGTCTTCTTCATCAATTTCTAAGAAACTTATTATTGTTCTTATAACACTCATTTCTAAAAATAACGCAAATATTTCAATTGGAATTTTATGTGAAATCCTCTGGAAATATGTAGACATTTGTGCAACCATAGAATTTTTTAGACTTCTTCTAGAACTACCAGAAAGTTTGTCTCTTTCGGATAAAATAAAATTAATATTGACATTAACTGGATTGTTATTACTCAAAAAACAATCATTTGTTACTGTTTTGCTTTCAGATCTATTTAGAACAGGTATCGAATTATCTAATCTTTGAAAAAATTCTCCAACTTCTTGATTACTCATTCTTTTTTCTTGATACCTGTCACGTTCCCAACTTTGAATTCTTATATTCCCTTTTTCTCCGGGTTTTAAAAGAATAACGTGACTGATAGAGTTTTCTCGACAATATTCAAGGATTTCTTCAAGGGAAACCAGATCTAAAATTGTAACTTTGAGTCCAAGACTCCATAATTCTTTTAAGAGATCGATCATCTCCTTTTCTCGATGATGATTGCCCATACAAGAAATGGCAACGTCGATACCGTATCTGCATTCTAAAGATTCTGAAGTTTCCGAGACTGCAGAAACAAGTTTTTCTAGTGAGATACTAATTCCTGCGCCATATTGTTTAATTTCTTTACTGGCCATTCCTGTACGTTCAAGAATCTTTTTAAAAGAAGAAAGCATTTTATCATAACGACCTCCTGCTGCTATTACTTCTTCTCCACCTTTCTTTTTACGCCGCTTAACTTCGTAGGTAATTTGATAAATTATACCACTATGTTGATTTATATTGTGCACTAGAAGAGGTACAACCAGTACAGGCCACTGTTAAAAAAGAGAAAGAATTCAAATTTTATTACACCTTTATATAATATTTGTATGTTTACCTTTAGAATAAAAATTATAGGATGATATATGTAACAAAAGAAACTTCTTTAATCACAAATAATTGTTTTAGTTATATTTTAAATATGATTTTATTAATATAGTACAATTTTTACCTTTACTCCAAGTGTTTCAATATTTTCCATAACTATCTCAATTTCCTTCAGTCCTTCTCTAGCTAAAGCAGCAGCATCTCCTTTTCTTCGCGTAATTGTTTTTAAAACACTATGAATTTTAGCAACAGAACTTTCCGTTTCAAACAAATTGAATAATGTCTCCATAGCCTGATCAGTCAAACATAAACTTATTAAATGCGTCTGTATTTGAAACTTTGTAAATTTTCCATCACGTGCATCTCGAAGGATTGAATAAATATCTTGATATTTTTCTTTATCTACTCCACAATACATTAATACAGCTTGTAGTAAAGAGGTGTGGTTCAAACGAATAGTAAAATTTCGTTCTTGCAATGGAGGTAATTCATTGATGATTTCCCAGACAATGTATATTAATTCACCTTCCATTAGAAGATTATCAGGAGTAGGATTTATTATATCAAATGCGCATTCGTAAAGTTCTCTAGGATGAAAGCCCAATACCTAAAAATAATATGAAATATAGAAACTTTGCTAACTTATATAATATTTAAGTACTTAAAAAAATCAATGGTTTAGTCCTTAATTGCTTTCAGAATACAATAAGAAATAAACAACTCGTATTAATAGAGTAATTTTACGATGATATAAACTGTTTAGTAAAATCATACCTTTTTTTCTCTAAAGACTCTTTCAATTGCATATCTTCTAATATGTGGTACATTATTCCATACTATGTATCTTGCAAATGCAGCGCGTAAATCATGAGGGATACAAACAATGTTTCCATTACGAGTCATTAATTTTACACTGGAAGTTGAAAAGCTACAGAATTGATGCGATTTTGGTATCAATAGAGGAGTTCCTAAGTAAACACCACCATGTCTTTGAAAAATCTCGATTACTTTGCTTTTAACTCCTTCTTGATGTTTTCTCCAAGCAATAAAGTTAATATGCCCCCTACTAGGTAAATTCATATCGTAAGTAATATCGTCTGCAGGACTAACTTCCTGCGTAAAACAGCATGAAATCAAATATTTATATGCTTTGCTTTGATTATTTGAAAGAGTGCGCCGGATCATTTCTTGCAATTCCGTCTCTTCAAGTCGTGCAGGAGGCAAATATTCCGAAGAAAGGAGTTCTTGAGCAGTAGGCCGTTGACTAGGATCATGATTTAATAACCACCTGTAATAACCGAGAATTAATTAACACGTATTTTAAATTAATTCATTTTAATCTGTACTACATGCCGTAAAATATGAATTTGTCGTGACATATCAGCTTGTTGTATTTCTGATGGAAGTATAATTTCTTTCGATCGTAAATTAAGCAAAACTTTAATTCGTTCCATTCCTGTAGTTAGAGGTTTGTAACACATTTCAAACAATATTATTCCAAGACTATAAATATCAACTTTTTGATTGTAAATAGCTTTTGCTGCTTTTGTTGTAAGTTCTGGAGCTACATAAAGTGCTGTGCCTACTTGTCCTGTGAGAGATCCAACATCTTCTGTGCCAAAACTAATCCCTGAAATATATTACATAATACATTACATATAGAGTGTTTGACTACAGGTGTAAAAAAATTTAAGGGATGATTCTTAAAGCTAAAATAAGATGAAAATCAAGAATGAAAAAAATTACGTTTTAGGCTTTGTTTTTAGTTATTAACAATTAAAAATTAGCCGAAATATCCTTACACAAAGATAAAGTAGATCAGCCTAAGCAGCGAAGTGCACAGAGATGCTCAAATCGAACGATACATGGGCGGCAGCTTACCTCATACAAATCGTAGAGAAGAGGATTGTGACATTTGTAAACCGTGTAAACCACGCTGCGCGACGTTTTGAAAGGAACATCGTAGATTAAACATTATACCTGCCTACTCTAAAAAGCAAAGCCGGAAACGCAATTCTTTTATTTTTGATTTTCATCTTATTTTAGCTTCAAGAATCGCCCCTTAAATATTTTTACACTTGTAGCCAAACACCTTGTATATACGTGAAAATACCTATAGAAGAATAGTACATAAAGAAGATTAATCGTCGCTGTGAAGATATTTACCCTTTTCAAAACCTTGAGATTCTTTATCAGTTTCCATTGTTTGTACAAAGGATGAAAGTATATTTGTAGTTGCTAAACCAAAATCTCCGATCTTTACATGGTCATTACTATCCAAAAATATATTTACTGGTTTTAGATCTCTATGTATCATTCCTTGTTGATGAATATGTGCTAGACCTTCCACAATTTCTCGAAACAATCTCCACACTCTTTCTTGATCTTCATAAACTCCATTATCAATTGCTGTCCGAAGAGTACTCTTTTCACAGAATTCCATTTGAATATACATAAATGGAATTTCTCTGACTGTTTCTTTTGATTCATTCATATCACCATTTTCATCACTTTTTATATTTGATGCAGATGCTTGATAATTTGTATCTCCTACAAATTCTATACTATCAGAAGAATCCATTCTTAGAAGATTCTGCATTCTGGAAAATTTGTTACAAATTACTCGTAACAACATAAGGTTCAATTAATATAAATTATACAGGGTGGTTGGTAACTGGTGGTACAAGCGGAAAGGGGGTAATTCTACGCAAAAAAGAAGTCGAAAATATAGAATAAAAAATTTTTTTTTTTAATTTTTCCATCGAGACAACGATCTACAGTAAGATCCGGTATAACGAGACGCGATAAAGTGAACGCGTACCGAGCGAAAATTCAAAGTCGATTTTCTCGAAAACAAAACCTCAAACGAAAAATTTTTATTCTATATTTTCGACTTCTATTTTCGCGTAGAATCACCCCCTTTCCGCTTGTACCACCAGTTACCAACCACCCTGTATAATTTATATTAATTGAACCTTATGTTGTTACGAGTAATTTGTAACAAATTTTCCAGAATGCAGAATCTTCTAAGAATGGATTCTTCTGATAGTATAGAATTTGTAGGAGATACAAATTATCAAGCATCTGCATCAAATATAAAAAGTGATGAAAATGGTGATATGAATGAATCAAAAGAAACAGTCAGAGAAATTCCATTTATGTATATTCAAATGGAATTCTGTGAAAAGAGTACTCTTCGGACAGCAATTGATAATGGAGTTTATGAAGATCAAGAAAGAGTGTGGAGATTGTTTCGAGAAATTGTGGAAGGTCTAGCACATATTCATCAACAAGGAATGATACATAGAGATCTAAAACCAGTAAATATATTTTTGGATAGTAATGACCATGTAAAGATCGGAGATTTTGGTTTAGCAACTACAAATATACTTTCATCCTTTGTACAAACAATGGAAACTGATAAAGAATCTCAAGGTTTTGAAAAGGGTAAATATCTTCACAGCGACGATTAATCTTCTTTATGTACTATTCTTCTATAGGTATTTTCACGTATATACAAGGTGTTTGGCTACAAGTGTAAAAAGTTGTGAATATATACTTCGATATGCTTAATTTTTAAGTTCCTATGGACAAAAATTATACATCTTATTCTATACTTTAAAGTATATTCAATTACACATAACTTTTTCATTTTTTTTATTCCAATGAATTAATTATATAAAGTAATAAATTATTGTATGCTTTCTAAATTCTGGAATGTATAATTGAATGGAAATTAATTGTTAATTTGTTTGTTAATTTTAGATTTTTAACATTTAATACGTAAATTTCGCACCTATTTATATATCTATTCAAAAAAGAATCTGTTTCTTGAATGTAAACAACTCTGTCACTAATATTTTTGTTTTAGAATAAAATGTATGTAATTTTAATCTTTATATGTTTCCAAATTCATGATTTATTTTTATGAGAAAGTATTTTTGTAATATAAAGATATGTCACCTACAAATCATCATTTCAAAAATGAATCTCTTACAAAAACGCACAATCTTCATCACTGTCAATGTCACTGGACGCATCACTGTTATCCTCATCGCTGTCAGCTGGAAGTGTTGTATTTGTTCGAGATCTGTATGAAACATTCCATTCAACCTCGTGTATTGGTATTGGTGGTGCTAATTTTTCAATATCATCCGTTATTAAATGCTAAAAGATAATTACAGATTAAAGGAAAAATTATTCACGAAATTATCATGACTAATCAACAATCGCATCTGATATCAAAATTAATTATTAGGTTGCCCCAAACGTTTCTTTTGTTTTATAAGGAAATAATAAATGAACAACATTTTTTGTTTTATAAAATATTTATTTTATTAAATTATGTGTGATCCATTTTGTTAGAATAGAATAACCGAATTATTTCCTTATAAAACGAAAGAAACTTTTGGGACAATCTAATATTTATATAAAAGTAGTACTTTTATATATATAAAAGTAGTTTGCTATAAATCATTACATGGTATGTAACACACTACAAGTTAAGAAATTAGTTACTAAAAATTAGTTACTAAAAATCTTAAGTTAAAATCTTAAATATTATATTACTATTCAAAAATGAAACAAATACAGACTATCGCAATGTTTAGGAAAACAAGTAGAAAATAAAATAAAACTTTTAACGATTAAATTTCAAATTCGAATATCTAGGAATCCTCAAATTAAAAAAATTAAGTAATACAATAATATAGATATAACAATTACATTAAGCAGCTCTGGACTCTTTTTTTCAGAAAATGTCATGGATGCACGTTCTTCTACTGCATCAGTTATTATAGAACTTTCTATCCATGAATTGTAATATCGTACTACATTTTCATGATTCATCCGAGATAACAATTTCACCTCTCTGGTAATTTTTTTGTGAAGTTGTTTATTTTTTGGGTTCAATTCTATCCTTTTAATAGCATAAATTCCACCATCTAATTTATTTTTCACTTTTAGAACATCGCCGAAAGCACCTCTACCAAGCCATTCAAGAATTTCGAATTCATTCGTAATTCTTAATTGACCTCCTAATGGAGGTACATATTGTCTAATATCTGTATCTGGTTCTTCTGGTTCATGATTCTCTTGTTCATCTCTCCGTGGTATTTTTGGGGGCGATAATGCATGGGTTAAAGGCGCCTTTATAAACGAATGTTGTAATAGTTGTTCGGCTGACCAACGTTTTCTTTCATCATTGATAAGGCACTTTAATAAGAAATCTTGAAGATCAAGCTAAAACAATTAAAAAATTGATTCCTTTATGAGAAGAAATGAGTAAAATGTGATTCATTTGTTTCTTCTTACTTAAATATTTATTTAAAATAATTATACTTAGATAGAAATCATTTGCTTTAAAATAGTATTTAATTTGGTTATTTATAGGCGTGCTGTGGAAATTATATTGTTTACGAAATGTACATAATGAACAGATTCAAGTCTGAAGACAAAATAATATAATTAGTATTTTATATCTAAGATCGTTTGATTATTATTCGAATTAATTAAACAGAGATAATAGGAATTTTTTAACAACATGTATACGTCATACATCATATAAATACATGATATTATCAATTTTTATTAAAGTTGAAGCGTAGAATAAATAAAGAATCTGTTAATATGTAATTTCTTATTTAAACTTTTTACTTAAAATTTTACTGAAATAAAATGCATAATTACTTATTAGCAAACGTCTGCATTTCACACTTATAAAGCTCTATTACCAAACAGTAAAGTGAAATTGATTGTATGTTTACTAAATAAAGGCATAGGTCTCTACATTTAAATTGTGAAGTATGCCAAATAACGTCCGTATAGTAAACATGTAGTCTAGAGTACAATAAATATTATTATATTTAATAAATTAAGTCTTTTTGGTTATCCTCAAATATTTTTTATTATAATAATTTCTTTCTATATGTTGTATATTTAGCTATATTAAATTTTCTTTTTTATTTATATTTTATATTAAATATTCAGGTTATTTGTATTCTGTATGTAGAGAAACACACCTGTACAATTTTTGTTGGATCAATTTTATCTCCAGAAACTATGATTCCTTTTAATAAAGAAAACATAAGAACACCAAAACGGTAGATATCTGCCTTTTTTCCACCTCTGCCTTGTACACTCGGAAAATCTGGTTCAGGCTTGATTATTGTACATGTCTGATAAATATCAGACAATCTTTTATTTAAAGAATAATCTGATAATCTAACTACTCCTGTGTTATCAATATAGATACTGGTATCACGTAGATCTTTGTGGACAACATTATTCTCATGGAGATATCGTAAAGCAGAAAGGATGCCAGTTGCCAAATATCGCAGGAAATCGATGTCTACTGCGATATTTTCCAGTAAAAAAAAGGAGCAACTCGTACCTATCTAAAATCCGATAATTAACATATATGATAGCATACATGAAACTTTAGTTCTTCAAAAAATTAAATCATACAAATTAAATCAATTCATATTATTGGAACGATCAAATTATGTTATATAAAAGTTGCTATTATTAGAAAATGTATGTATGTATTTGTATTTACAGATATAATAATTTTGTAATTTTTTCGAAATAAATGAACTTTATCATAAATATTGAAATGTTAAGATAGCTGTAGAATAAAATTTATTTAAACGTATAAAATTTAAGTTATTTAACTTAACAAGTGAAACTTATTTCAGGAAATATATTTTATACAATACAGTGGGCCTTCGTATAACGCAAGGGATAGGTTCTGCGTTATAGGAAACAGCTTTATATGATACGAACCACATGTATTATGTATATGGACTATGAGTGTGATGTTATACGAATCCGCATTATACGAATTTTACGAGTCCCTTATATTTTACATAGTTCTTCAATTTATTCACTTTTAGAAAAATTAATTCAAATAATTATAATTACAAATATTGTACCTTTGGTTTGAATTATAACTAAATATCATTATACCTACCACAAATTCTTGAAGAACATAAATAAGTACATCATCTTCCTCCTGCAGATACTTCATATTTAAATAATGTACAAGATTTGGATGATGTAATTTATGTAAATGATTTACTTCTTGTTCTAAGCTTCCTACTTGTTTCATGATATGTTGAATATTATTTTCTTCAATTTTATTATTTACTTTTAATGTCCATTCACTAATTGCAAACAATTCTCCAGTTGTCATATCCACACCTGCATAAACGACTGATCCCTTAGTACTATGACCCATACATTTTGCTCTGTACACTTGTCGTTCACCTATAATTATTATACGTTATAGAAATTAATAAAATTGAATTATTTTTTTAATACACAAGTTTGAGACAACAGACTAAAGTTATCTACCAAAATATATACCTCTATTATGATCAAAGTGTAATAATTTTGTGCCCCTATGTTCGCATAGAAAACCGTCAGAACTTTCAGAACTACTAGCACATCTTCGTCGAGAATAAATCCGTGATCTCTCTTGTGGAGATGATGGTATTGATTGAGAAGGATTATTTGATCGATCACAATATAAGCGAATAGATTCTTTCCGATTACGAAGTTCAGCTTTTAAAGCTTCTTGCCTTTTTTGGATTTCATCCTGCAATACCTGCAATTATTTTTGTAGATACAATATCTGCATTAAAACAGATATATTTTTGAAATGATCAATAATAATATGATTAGAACAATTATATTTGTAGAATAGTAGTAGCCTACAGAAATTGTAATTTGAACATTAAAAACAAGAAAGGTAAAAGGATGTTTGACTTGCCATGTTTATTAATTAAAATAATTGTAATTGCAATATTATCGAAATAAGTTTTTTCAATGAAAATTTATAGATTTTTTTATAAATTGACGAATATAATTATTATTAAAATTACCATTTACGCCAACGAGACCGTGTGAGAGAGCCTCGGCATTAACGAGGTTTATAGAATTTATGGTACGACAAACGCGAAAAAAGTAACGTTGTATTCTTATGTTTACGTTTTTCTTATCTTTAATACGATGCATCTTGATTTGTATAATAAATTATGTACAAAAATTACAGTCATATCTGGTTATGTATAATTAAAATCTTCAGAACGCCTACACTTCCAAAATGGACATATCCACCGAGTCATGCATCATTCAATTAATTTTGTCTATTTTCTACTATTTTAGATTTATAGCTTAAACCAATTGTGTGTAATATCTTGTATATATCTTTGCATATTTTTTGTCCTACGATATATGTATACATATAAGATAAACACAAAACATGAATCATTTCATCGGAAGAATTAGTTTTTTTAAATTTGATATGTTACATTCACCAAAATATTATCAGTGAAAAAGTACAATTTTCCGGATAAGATTAATTGAAATGCAATCCTCTAAGTATCTTTCATTTCAAGTATGTACTACATCAAACATTGTCCAATTCTTAAGTCGGGTTGATATAAAAAATTTGATAACATTTATGTATGAACAAATATATATATATATGTATACATATAGTGAAATAATTAATTATTTAAGAAGCTATTACTTACCACCTTTTTATGTAATTACTCGCATCTGTCGAGGATACATTTCTTCACCTAGGACATTTTCTTAAGGTGTTTTAGGCACACTTGTTCATAGTAGAGTTTCAGTGTATTAACTTGCAATTATATACACGGTGTCTGACTTCCGGCATATAGTAATAAATTAATGTGTTTGGTTTTCTTCTTGTCTAACAACGGTTTCTTCTCTGATTTGGCGATGACGCTGTTTTTTATCATTTAATTTTCCGTTTGTTGTACCTTATCTTCAATTTATTCACAGATCGGTAAGACCATTTCTGAATTTCATCTACGGACACTTTTTACTGAATAATTGTGGCAATTATTTCTTTGACCCCAGTAATACTGAATATATTTGAAACATGCTCCACCCCTGTTTCTTGCTTTATGGTTTCTTTCTTCACAACGTTGTTTAGGAATCGCTCCAATGAAAAATAATTATTAAAGGGTAATATATCGCCTCAAGCTTTTTTTAACAAATCAGTGCGAGGAAAGTCTAAAATTTCTCTTAGCGTACGATGATGAAACAAAGTTTTGAATTTTGTTACTATTTTCTGATTCCTCGGTTGAAAGAAGCAGTTCGTGGTATTTTCAGGAAGGTACACGACGCGACATCATAATCGGTATTTAGTCTATCCAGTGCTCATATCCTATGAGAGACACAATTGCATGCTAATAACGACATTCGCCTGCAAGTTCATTTTTCCAGTTGAACTTTTTACAATGGATTTGGAATGATTTTACAAACAATCAGCAAATATTATACATTGCAATTCATCAAAGTCTGTTTCCTAGTTTTGGACACAACGGGTAATTCATTTGACATGTTTGAGCGCTTTCGGTTTCTCGTATCTGTGAATAAAAAGATGTAGTTTATAAACTACACTTGCATTTACATAAAATCCGTTACTCGATCTTCTTGTATTTGGCTTTCATATGCCCTTTTTTCTATCCTACGAATTAACGTTCGATCTAGAAGAGCTTTTCACAACAAAGATGTACTGAAGAGTCCATAGCAGATCTTGGACGAAACACTCACTTTCTCTCTCTTTTCTCATTGTGTCTAAGGTATAGGTCTGTTAGGTGAGCCTTATTGAAGAGTCCATACTAGCACAACAAAGATGTTTCATCCATTTTGTGAATTTATCTAGATCTATGCATATTTTAGTCTTTAAGGCATTGTAGGATATCTTTGACAAATTTTGACTCTATATCATTGCTTGGTGTTTTTTAAATCTCCATATCGAACCGTTGCCAGTTGAAAATGTCGAAGGATCGTCAAATTTACTGCTTGATTCGTTTGCCTTTTTTTCAATAACGATGTATTTAAAGAAGTATCGGTAAGTAATTGAAGAAATGGAAGTGATCTCGAAATCTCCGGAAACTCTCAGCTTATAAGAAAATTATTATGTCTTCCTTCAGAGATATTCAAAGTGATTAAAGTCATTACCCCACCCTATTTGTGTCCTTATATGAAATTATAAAATGTAATATTAAAATTTCGCTGTATCCACACTTAATAATTTGTACGTGTTTAATGGATAATTTAAATTAATTGAAAAATATGTAATTTTACTTTAAAATAAATTAGATTGTTAGATTAATAAATTAAAATTAATACAAAAAGATTGTGAAAAAAGTATCAACTTTAAAAATAACAAATTGTATACAATTGCTTCGTCATATATTTATGATTTTTTACAATCAGCGATTATTATACAATATTTTCAAATACACATATTTAATTTATTTTCTATAATAGAATCCTTGAACAAAACTATTCAAAATACCAAAATATTTATTTTTATCATGATGCAAAAATAATTTGTAAAAACAATGAGGTAATGATAAAAATTAAAATTAATAAAGATTTCTCATATTCATATGGCAGTTAAACTTTCGTGGTTCTTAATTTTTAATTTACGATGATTTATAATCATAACAAAGATAATTACTTTAGAAGTTATTAATTTTATAATAGATAGAATACGAGAATTACAGAATATGTTTTAGTCGTTTCATTCATTTCATTTCAAAAAGTAAAAAAAAATCGCATCTTTTAAAATTATGTGTTCTTATAAAACTGGCAGGTCAAACATCCTTGTAATGTAGTAATTTATTTATATTCATTGATTCATATAATTTACCCTTTTGAAGGAACAGGTTGTTGCAGTACAGAATGATGTAGGACAATAAACTTAGACAGTAATCTCAGCTATTCATTTTATTACAATATGATTTATATAATATACGTATCTAACCTGTCTTTCTTTATCTTCTTTCAACTGCTTTTCCAACATTTCATATTCGATCTTTTCTTGACGTCGTGAAACCATTTCTTCATAAAAGCTACTGTAACTTGGTTTATTATTCTCATGTAAATATTTCTGAACATGTTGCGTTAATTCAAAGATCATTACTTCTCCCTGTAATTGTTTTGTTAGCTCCACTAATTCGGCATATAATACTGCAACTTGTTGATGAGATAAGCCTCTGCTATTTTCCAACTCTATGTTTGGTACTCTGTAAGTTATGTAATAAAAAACGTAAAAACAGTTTTCGTAGTACAGATCACATAACTTTAAGTTATGTCGATTAGATTTAATATACATTCATATTTGGTTAAATTATATTAAAGTCTAAAATTTAAACATTAAATTTCACCGATCTATTTTCACAACTATCCTACCTTGTGCAATTCTCGCATTTATATTTCCGAAACATATTTATATGTATGTATGTATGTACATGTGTGTGTGTATATAACATGTAGGCATGTATGTATAATGTCTGGAAATGTCTAGACCCTGCATATTAATCAAAATTTTTTCAGCCTAATTTCAAATTAAAAATCGTTTTTATTAAAGTATTAAGTTGTCCCAAAGTTTGTATAAGGAAATAACAGATGCACAGCACTTTTTGTTTTATATTATTTTATTGAATTATGCCTGATTCGTTTTGTAATAGACAATACACTGTCACGTCCCGCGCTGCGCACGCGCCGTAACGTAGGCTAAAACTACCAATAGTGCGAGTGAGCGTTCCAATTTGAAATTTAAATAAATTTTAACAATTTGTATATAAACCAAATTCGAACCTCACAACCCCCACCGAATAACCCGTCACATGACAACCCCTCCACGGTAGACCCAAATATAAATAAGCGTAGCGACATAGAAGAAGCGGTAATAATTCCTTAGTTTTAGAGTAGTTAATTCCTCAGTTTTGTGTGATTAGTTTTCTCAGTTCTTGGTGATTAACTCCTTGGTTCTTGGCGATCAGTTCTCATTTCCTGGCAAGAAATTTCTTGTTCATAGCGATTAATTCTTAATTCCTCTAGCTCTTAATTTCTCAATTCCTTTGTTTTTTTTATTCTTTAGTTCCTTAGTTTTTCAGCTTTTAATTCCTTTAGCTCTTAATTTTGCTCTCAGCTTTTAGGTTCTTTAATCCTTTAATTCTTTAGCTTTTAGTTCTTTGTTTTATTAGTTTCCAATTCTTGTTAGTCTTGTTAATCGACGTGTTTGTATTTGTCAATTTGTAAACTATCGAAAATCTATCGAAATTAAAATCTTGTAATTAATAAGAGCGAAACGTAATTGCGAACGATTGTAACTCCGAGCATTCGAAATTTCAACGACTATTCTGTCAATATCCAATTAGGATACGAATAAACATTTTTTGTGAAGAATATTTGTCTAATAATATAGCAGGATTAAGGGGACATTTATTTTCACCAACTTTAATCCTCTCCCATGCCAGTACTCCTGCGCATAGCAGATTAGCCGAAACGTGAAGTTTAATTTCAAATCGCATTAAATAACAGACAATACTACAATTTAATTTGGCAACGCCGCCAAAACGAGCCAGACAAAACGTAACAACACACAATTCAATAAAATAATATAAAACAAAAAATATTGTGCAACTACTATTTCCTTATAAAACGAAATAAACTTTTGGGACAATTTAATATTTAACAACCATTTAGCTTCCTTAGCTTCCAATTCAGATACATGTAACATATTTTATTGAGGACTAATATTTCAGTATAAAATATACAACGAATGTATTGACATAATATAGAAAAACTTCGAGAACAATTACATATTTACAGATTAGCTAGTCATGAAAAATTGTGATTCAAATTATTGGGTTGGCAATGATTGCGGATTTTGTCAATACCACCTAATGACAAAATCCGCAATCACTTAGTTGCCAACCCAATATATACAATGTTAAACAGACTCCTATGTGCAGTCTATTTTATTTCTTATTACTAGCATTACCTATCTTGATCAAGATATTTTATATCAATAAAACGGAGATGTCGGGAGATAATGAATGAAAAAAATCTGGAGATAAGAATAGAAGAAATATATACGATTAAACTCACCTTAACACTAGAACTACCACGCCGGTCAAAATGACTAATTTGACAACTTTATCTTAAAATTCCTATTTCATGATATATTTTTTTCCGCAATGATGTAATGAGTTTTGCAGGGGTAGTTAAAGGAATAATATAATAAACTTTAATTTTGTTTTATTCATTTAATATAAAAGAAATTTTGTATCATGGCTACTTATACCAGTACAAGTGAAATTGACCAGACATATTGGCTGGTACTGGTATAAGTGTAATAGAATTCTATAATCTGTTTACTGAAACCGGACTCGTTTATTTAGATGGTGTATTAGATATCTAGATATAATTTATATTATCTATAAAAGTTTGTTTACATAAACACAGCCGTAAAGTAACGTACAAAGTAATAGGAATAGATGCTCTTGCCGTTGCACACGGTCATTCTGTAGAGCATAGTCGCTGGAATAAGATCTGATTTATCGTTTTATAAAGCAATATTTTACAAGCCTTGAAAATGAGTAAACAATTGAAAGCATCCGAATTGTTGTAAAAACTGAAAAGGATACCAGTGGAATGCTCTGATATCGAAGATAGTGAATTCTCTGAGTGTGATGGAAGTGAATCAGAGGAAAAAGAAATTGAAATTTGTAGTGATAACGGTAATAGTGACATTAGTGACAAAGAAAATGAGTCCTCAGAAAGTGAGCCAGAGAACACTTTGAATGTACGCAAAAGAATACGTGCTCAGCTGTCTCCAAGTTCTGAAAATGAAACTGAAAGTGTATAAGCTAGACCAAATCTGGCCCCACAGCATATGCAAAAAGAAACATCATGAAAGATAAGGTAATTAGCGCATTTTCCCTACTAATTGACAGCCATATGTTGCAACGTATAATATCTTGCACCGAATCGGAAGCCTCTCGTGTTTTGGATAAAAAATGGGCCCTTACAGAAACAAAATTGAAAGCATTCCTTGGAATATTGTACGCACGGGGGGCATACGAAGCGAAAAATTTGAAACTTTCATATTTGTGGAATACAAAATGGAGGCCAAGCTTCTTTTCCAGCACAATGAGTCGGAATGAGTTTCTTGAAATATTGAAGTTTATTCGATTTGACAAAAAAAATGATAGAAGTCAACGTTTGAAAAATGATAAATTTGCACTAATATCAACCGTATGGGATAAGTTTATTGAAAACAGCCAGAATTGGCATAAACCTGGTACAAACATTACAATAGACGAGCAACTTTTCCCAAGCAAAACCAGATGCAGGTTTACACAATATTTACCGAATAAGCCCGACAAATTCGGAATTAAGTTTTGGCTGGCATCTGATGTTCAAACAAAATATATTGTAAATGGATTTCCTTATTTAGGAAAGAATTTGTGGTACTCAAACTTACTGAACCGTAAAGTATGATGGGAAGGACCATAATGACCGACAATTTTTTTACAAGTTTGTCACTGGCATATAAATTATTAGTCAAAAGAACCACACTGGTTGGCACAATACGAGGAAACAGGAGAGAACTCCCTAAAATTTGTAAAACGAAGGAGGATACCATGGCTCGCTTTTCGTCGCTGCTGTATCCATCAAATGAGATTACACTCACAATTTATAAAAGTAAGCCGAGAAAGGAAGTTTTTATCTTGAGCTCAAAACATAAAGCCGTCAAAATTAGAAAAAGGGCCTACCTGAAACGGTCGAATTTTATAATAAGGCAAAATTTGGAGTAGATATAGCAGACCAAATGGCAAAAAAATATAGCGTGAAGTCGGGATCAAGAAGATGACCACTTCAAGTATTTTCAATATTTTAGATTTAGCTGGCATAAATGCCTGGATTTTATATAAGGAAACCACAGGTGAGCAGATATCCAGAAAAGAGTTTGCGTTTCAATTAGCAGATGAACTTGCCGCTGACAATGAAAAATCACGAGTAGAACAAAGAGCATCTGAGATTCAAGGTACGTCAAAGAACTCACCTTATTCACGCAATTGTCAGATAGGGTATTATAATAATAATAAGACCACCATCATTTGCGATGTTTGCGGAAAATGCATGCAGAAGAAAGTTAACGTTTGTAAGAAATGTTACGAATGATAACTTTTGTACCTAATAATTTAAGTTATATTTTTGTATTTTATTTATTCTATTATGCTTATTACGTTTATTATGATATTACTATATTATACTTCTTATATTTACTAATGGAAATTTATTTTAATATTTTTGTTACCAAAGATTTGGGTACTAAATATTCTTCATTATTGTACTTATTTGTACTTATTGTTATTATTATAGTTGTTATTATATAGTTTTTATGATCTCAGAACATGTAGTTCCTTTTCTAAAATAATAATAAATCAATAAATATTAAAATATTCCATTATTACGTATTTTTTAAAGATCAGTCATTTCGAGTTGTTTTGGTGGAGATAGCTACCTCTCAACTGTCGGTAGTTTTAGTGTTAAAATACGAAAATTTTGAAGATCTTCCTGTATTTGATGGGTAAAAATATTATTCTAATCCATCCTATTTATTTTCCAAAATAAACTCTCTACCCGTTTTGATTTGCACACGTTTCTAAGTCACACTGATAATGAACGATTCTATGTCTTTTTTGCTTTTACTATTTGCACCAAGTAGAAGAATTTAAAAATAGCTTAGTTTCATTTGAGAAATAGAAAGATTATCAATTTAGAATTCTAGCATTCATATTAATATTTAAATACCAAATTCATACTTTTGGCTATTTTCTATGTTTAAACTTTTAAAAAATAATGATTTATATAGAATAATTAAATTCAAACAGTTTTATTACAATATTTTTTAACCCTTTCGCTCCTAACGTCGGATATATCCGGCATGCACAATGTGACATGATAAAATCGTTTGTTCCTTGTGATTGCAAGTTATTGTTATTATTTATACAGGGTCTGGTACTATTATAGGGCCCGAACATAAAGACTGTGATAAATCAAGAAGTATTGTTGTTACGTTCCGTGACTCTCTGCACAAACCAGACTCCACGCCTCAGGCAACATAGCTATTAGATGTCTAAACACCCTTATTGCGGACCCTCAATAATCTTAATCGGGTTGGTTCGGTAGTAGTCCTAGCCACTTCCCCGGAGTGTGGCCGGACTGCACGACGGCCAGTTCGGTTTCCGGAGAGGGCGGTCTACGACCGACGCTGTCGCCCGCGTCCGCTCCCTTGTCGAGGAGGCCGAGCGGCGTGGTTACGTGGCGCTGGCCGTGGTCAACGCCTTCAACAGCATCCCCTGGGACACGATATGCCGGGCCCTCGAATTTCATCGGGTGCCCGCGGGG